TTAGACTTTGTTCTTCTTCTCTCATTCGTCATACATTCTCGTGTTCTCACATTTGTCATGTTAAAAAAGGATAGTTTTGGGAAACACACTTACTTGCTTTCTTACCAAGTGGAAGTTGAGAACATTGACACCACTCTTACTGTATATCTGTTCATTTAATACGAAGCCACAGCAAGGCTTTGCTTAGCTTAGCACAAAGACTGAAAGCAGGGGGAATATGGGGAGTAAGCGCATTTCTCAAAATGTCAAACTATGCTTTTAACACCCCACATTAACTCAGGAGATTAGCATTTGTTTCATTTAGCAGCAGTATCATGTGTTTAGAGAGCATTTAATATTTGAGAACGTTGGCTTATTCTGTAACTAAAAGGATAGGGCTGGTTAAATAAAAACAGCAAGCAAATAGCCAGTCCTATGCTGCCAGCCTTAATTCTTTACAGGGATCATGTAATGTTCATCCATCTATTCTTATTGTATTCCCAGCTTGGAGGATCACAATAAACTGTAAGCTCCTGAAACAAGACTAGTTATCTTGTCAGCCAGAGTTCAATGTATGCAAGGAGCCTCGTTGTGGTCTATCCGCAGTTCACTCAGCCGAGGACTCAGGGGATACACAGCACAAAACTAATATGACTCCTGAAGGAGGCATTGTGGAACTAACACTCCCCTACCACTCTTTCTGTCGCTCCCTTCTTTCATCTATAATTTTCCTTTCTCCCTCTCTATCACTCAGTACCCTGTAATCAATCTCTCGCCATTTTCTAAGCTCCATTTCATTCTAAAACTCCAACAAAAAATCAAAAAATCTCCAACATCTAAGTCTTCAGCCCTTTCCGTTTGCCTCCATCCTTGACTTTCCCATCCTTACTCCATCCCACTGCTCCTGATCTAAGCTGTTCTGCCACAGTAGGAAATGAGATTACTGGGATCCATATAGCCACGGACCACACGTTCCATTACATAATGCAAACAGACAGAGGGAAAAAGTGATGTGTGAGCACATGGGTGTTGTGAGCATGTATGTGTGTTTGTGTATGTTGGATTAAGGTCATTAGAGTGTTAGCCTTTCAGATTTGTAGTAAATGTTGGGAGGATAGCCGAGTTGCGTCAGTAAATACGGTTTTAAATTCACCAGAAAACCCACATACATGCATGCACGCACCAAACACACACACACACACACACACATACATATACCCACACACACACACACCCTTTATGGTATAAGCAACATTGACATCTACAGGACATCAGAGTGTGTGTGTGTGTTTTCCACCCAAAGGTGGCAGTATTGGTCAAACTTGAAGTTACTCTGGTGAAACACACACAGCTGAATATTAAGTTATTGTTAAAGCATGCAAGGACAAAAAGATACACTCTTTGCCCTATACTCCTCACTGACCTACTAACACAGAATGCATAAAAACTAGGAACTAGGAATGATACAGGAATCTGTGTGGTGATTTGTCTATGTGACTAAATATAATGTGAGGGAGTGTGTTTGTTTTAGTGGTGAAGGAAGTACTCAGATCCTTCACTCAAGTAAAAGTGCCAATACCTCAAGGTAAAAATACTCCACTGAAGGTAAAAGTCCTGCATTCAAAATTGAGTAAAAAGAACTTAAAGTATCAAAAATATCCTGTCATTGTTATTATATCATGTGATTACTCTTACTTACTAATGCATTACTGTGCATTTTATGTTGTATCTGGTTGATTTTATAAAGATATCATAATGATCATAGATTAATTTCTGTGTAATCTTACCTTGATCTCTTAAAGTATCTAGTAACTATAGCTGTCAAATAAATGTAGTGGAGTACAATATTTGTATATGTAGTGGAGTAGAAGTATAAAGTAGCATAAATTGGAAATATTCAAGTACAGTACTTGTAAATGTACTTGTACTGTAATGTGCTTTCAACCACTGGTTTGTTTTAAATTAAATTAAATGTGCTTCAAGGCTTTGGTTTAATTCTCTGAATGATTCTCTCTGAATTAAACCAGCTTACTTAGCACATCCAGCTATATGTTTTTCTGTGGGCTTATGTTCTGTGTAAATGTGTGTCTGCGTGTGTGAGTGTGTGTGTACCCAGAGATCCAGTTCTGTGCAGGCTCAGGAAGGCTCTGTCTCTTTCCAGCCCCCCACCCGGCTCTCTGCGCAGGGCGGTGCGGCCCAGATGACCAGCATATTGACGCAGGAAGGAGGGAGCACTGTGTGAGGCAGGAGGGTGCACGGCGCACACCACCATGGGCTCTGAGACACACGATGCAGATGGACAGCCAGGGAGAGGGAGAAAAAGGAAGGGAGGAGAGAAGAGAGTACGAGAACGCGAGAGAGTAAGGAGCAGGTTGACACGAATGAGAAAGAGGAGGGGGTCAAAACCAGAAAAGGCAAGACAAATAAATAAGGGAAAGAGAGGGATAGCAGAGGAGAGGGAACAGAAGCAGCAAAATAGAGACAGGCAGAAATTGTAGGAAGGAACAGGAGGAAAAAGGAAAGAGGAAAAAAGACGACACAAGGTCACACAGTGACCAGACAGAGGTAGCAGAACATGTAGGAACAGTATAATATGTAGTAATAGATAAAGGGGTGGGAATACATACAGCTGGTGTACTCATGTTAGAAGAGTAAACAGTGGTAGAACACAGTAATAGAAATAGTCATGGGAAGTGTATGAGGCATGAGACATGCATAGTGGACGATATGTTGAGTTATAGACTGATAAAGACTGACTTTGAAGAACAGAGTGAAAAGAAACACACACAGAATACTAGCAGATGCATGGTAGGAAACAGGACTAGAATTTATATTTAGCTAATTGTTAGTAGCAAATTTTCAGTCTGTGGGTCAAATCAATCTTATGGATAAACAAATGCTCCTTGACTTCTCCACAGCAAAATGCCATAACACCCTGTCAGCATGCATGAATCATCACCTTTCTCTCACATTCATTAGTATTAATGAGTCCTTCTGCAGAATGTGGGTGGAAGCCTACATGTCACATCTCCTATCTTTCAAATAATCCTCAATTTTCTCCACATTCTGCACTGTAAATCACCACTCCATTGTGATACCCGAGCACTAGGGTTTAATGTTTCTCAAGGATTCCTCACAGTCTTGCCTCCAAAAACACAGTGGAGGAACAGATCTGAGTTCAGCACAAGATTCCACATTGCTTCTAATTAGCACTTTGAAAAATGTGAGGAGTGAGGAGTATTTTTTACCGTTCTTTTGCACAGTCGGACTAAGATATAGAGACCGGGGGGGGGGGG